AATTATATTCAGCATATACAGGTTACATTCAGCATATTCCGCCGTCTCCTTCTGTGAGGAAGTTATGTTGCGAAAGATATGGCGGAGCGGGACCAGGAGAGGTTTAGAACTCTCCCGGCCCGCCAGGCCCGGGAACGGACCATGTACTGCAGACGACTCGGGCGCCGTAGGTCGCAGAACGACCTCGGTCTTCCATAAGCGCAGGCCTGGGGGTGACAGGTGAGCCCATCTGTCACCCTAGCAGAAGCAGGCCGGAGTGGAGACGCGCTGCGGAGCGCGCGCGCCCTTTTTGGAGCACAAAGGGAACATGCACCCACATAGGAGGGGGTCATCTACACACCGTGGATGGCCCGAGGTACGTCGGGGTACCAGGGATTTCCTTGCTAGGGTACACCTGGTTCCCCGGCTACTGATATCCGAGACGGCGTGCGGTTTTTGGTCGGTTCGAGTCCGACATAATCACCGGTGGGTGATATCCGAGGGGATTTCCGCACAGGAAAAGGAAAAATAAAAGGTGCATATTACGATATTTAAAAAACAAAAACCCTTTTTAAAAAAAAAGTTGAACCGACTTCAAAAAACACCGACAAAGAGCACTAAAAATTAAAAAATAATTACAAATCTAAGTAAAAAACTATAATAAGTACCCTCAATGTAACAGGTAACATTATAATACCAATAGTCCCTTCTAGTCAGTTTGAAGTCGGTGCCAAGGCAAATAGGTGCTTGATAGGCATGGTAGAATGTAGCGCGGCAGCTGCAACAGTCTTCATGCTGCGCAAAACATGATGAACGAGCTAAAGTGGACGCACATCTCCAATTATATTATTATTTTGAATTCTTTAATAAGTAGTTGATAAGTTTGCGCACGTAATTGATCTGGTTGGTCTTTATTAATTAACAAAATCTTCGATGTTTCATTAGAATTATTTTGAATTCTTAATTTTTCATTGTGCTAATATAAAGCTGACATAGACCAGTATTACTTATTGTACATCGAGCTTGGCACCGACTTCAAACAGACTAGAAGGGACTATTGGTATTATAATGTTACCTGTTACATTGAGGGTACTTATTATAGTTTTTTACTTAGATTTGTAATTATTTTTTAATTTTTAGTGCTCTTTGTCGGTGTTTTTTGAAGTCGGTTCAACTTTTTTTTTAAAAAGGGTTTATTTTACCATTTTTAGTGTAGGATATGAAAATGACATTGGCGTCCAAACTGATCAAGATCAGCTTAAATTCTTTTCTAAGAAAGAGTCAAATTCTTGTGAGTTGCAACCGAACAAAATAACTTCCGATTCAATTGACACTGATCTCGAAGGTGAAGATAGGGAAGCTTTAGTGAGACTACTCAACAAATATGCTCAATATTTTATAGAAGGAGTTCCAACTAGAAGGGTTAATACTAGTATGTTAGAAATTAACCTAGTTGACCCACCCAAAATTTAAGAGTTTTTTCCAGAACTATTTTAATAAATCTATACTAATATTATAAAGCTGAAGAGTTTGTTTGTTTGTTTGAACGCGCTAATCTCAGGAACTACTGGTCCGATTTGAAAAATTCTTTCAGTGTTAGATAGCCCATTTATCGAGGAAGGCTATAGGCTATATATCATCACGCTAAGACCAATAGGAGCGGAGCAACAATGAAGAATGTTTCAAAAACGGAGAAAATTTATTACTATTGAGAGACGCAGACGAAGTTGCGCGGGTCAGCTAGTTAAGTATAAAATTACTTACAAACGAAATGCGATGCCATCCATAGCAACAAAACGTCTATCCGAATTATTTTAACAAGATAGAATACAAAATTTCAACCTTTTCTTCTTAATACAACGAAAATTACTGTGGTGACATAAATACTGCAAGTTCTCTGCGCATCACATCGCGCAGTCTCTGACAGTTGCCATGGTTTGTTTGACTAAAGAAATACTCGTAGCTAAAACACGTTATCGGGGCTGTCAAATTCCCAATAATTGTGAGGGTTTCACTCGATTTCTCTAGGATCCCATTATCAGATCCTGAATTGGTGGTAATGGGACCAATTCGGGAGCATACCCTTTCGATTACAAAAAGAATTTTGAAAATCGGTCCACAATTGACGAAGAAATCGCGTAACAAACATACATAAAAAAAAAAATACAGGCGAATTGAGAACCTCCTCTTTTGTGTTTTGGAAGTCGGTTAAAAAGAAAACATACTGTCGAATCAAAAACCCTCCTTTTTTGATGTTGGTTAAAAATCGACTAGCATGAAGCTCCTAGTCGAGACGAATCAAATGAGCACAAACACGGCGGAATTGCTTTATTTTATTACAGAGTTCCCATGGCTATTTACCGTCTCCATCATCAGACCCTGAATATCACATAGGATCGGAGTTCTTATTAATTAGACTCAAACACATTCAAATTCGATGGTATTACATAATTTTGTTACAGAGATCCCATACTCCTAAACCATTCATCAACAGCTTCATCATCAGCTCAGCAACATCAGATGGTGACCATTAGATGCAAAAATCTACATAGATTAAGATAATTTCTGATAAACAGTGTATATGCCTACAAAATTTGAGGGTTTCCCTCGATTTCCCCAGGATCCCATCATCAGATCCTGACCTGGTGACAATGGGACCACCTCTGACGTATGACCTACCAAATAAAAAAATAATTATTCAAATCGGTTTATAATTGCCGGAGTAATCGCGTAACAAATATACAAAAAAAAAAAAAAAAAAAATACAGTCGAATTGAGAACCTCCTCCTTTTTTTGAAGTCGGTTATAAAAAATATTTCAGAACAGATTCTGCACCAAACACTAAATAGTTTTCACATCAATAGAAGACAAATTTCCACAAACACTGTGCAAAATATTCCTATTGGTAATACTGAACAGATTGGTGACACACAATTTAGAACCGTGGCTTAATGAGAATAAAGTCTATTTTTCTGTTAGTTATAATTAAAAAGAGATAGATAGAGGGGTACTCTTTCTTTTTACAGCTATGATTCAAGTAGTACGATGTAATAGTTTGTAACACTAGTACAAATAATACACATTTTCATAAAGAATTGTACTGCTGGTGTTGAAGTTAGAAGAGAAGTGATATGATTATATGAAGATTCCAAAGAAGTTATTGCGAAGCACGGTTTTTTCGAAAATCTTTATGAGTAGGTATCTAGTACGCCAGTTCGAAAACACAATTAATCGAAAACCGCGAAATCGAATGATGTTGTAGCGAACACGTTGATTTGAAAACCTTTTTTGAATGGTTCGCTAGTACGAAAGTCTTGGTATCGATATCCACTGATGCGAATAGCATGTGTTAATCTGAATTTGTTTGAGCATCGCACTCTCGACACTGATAAAGCCTTACCTTTGGATTGTAGATTGAGTACTTATTATTTTAAGTTCACTTTTTAATTTCCATTTATATTTATAGTAGGTAATCAACAAATCAAAATAATAGATGGTACTCATTACCAAAAGTAACAACACTCATATTAATACCTAACAAAACTGGTAGATTCATGTCAACATAGAAGAGTGTTTAATGCTACAGCTCTTTTACATTCCATAGTGCACATTGTGTTTTTCTTTTGTAAAACTGCTGATTTTAGTTCTTTTTGCTGGCGGCGTTTGCGGGATATTAGTCAAAATTCTCTCAAATTTATGAGTGGTTGTATTCTGTTCGTCAATTAGCCTTTCAATACAGTCGTACAAACCAAGTATTCGATTGGTCATTAAACAATTCCAACGCCGGTGCCATGCTTCCACTCTGTTCGTCAATATTCTTTTAATTGTCGAAAAAACTTAATAAAACAATCTGCCGTCTTTTTGTGAAGAATTTCATACACCAAGGGTAACTTATATTCGTATACATCCTCCAGTGCTGACGATGCCATGAACTGATAAGATTTGTGTAAATATGATAGGGCAGGTTTGAAATGTCCCATCCACAAACCAAACTGGCAATACACTTAACTTTCGCAGGTTCATTTTAGTTGCAAATAATAACAAGCAACCATTATCCTCCCCAAACGTAACATTTTACCCAGAAATCGAGTTATAATTAATTTATGTACTTATACATATTCATTTGGTAGGTATATTAACCACCCAGCAACCTCAGAATAAAAACGCACCAAAAAATTAAAAATACCAATTTTAGCAGAACAATAACAAGTAAGTAGTATGATGTTGATTTTAAAATACTAAGAGAAAATAAATAAATACTTTGGAGTCCAAACTAGTATGGTCAAGAAGTCCATGAAATAAACTGTTAATGCAATTATGAAACTGTGTGGAACGGTGGACATTGCGTCGTCAGGCTACACCATTCATTATATATTTTTTTTAGTGTAAATGTAATAACAAGCTTAAAATCAAAACAGTTATTTCATATAACTTCACAAATCATAGTGCAACTTTAAACACGATTGATTTTAAGTATTAATATAAAAATTATAGTCTTAATTTTGATGAAATATGCAAACATTTGCATCGTGCAATTCATCGTGCAAATGGTCTCCTTGTGACGACACAGTTTACGTCGCTTCTGCGTCATCATAACGCGAATAGCACTCAAACGGGGAGGACGTGGGATTGAGATGAAAGTTAATTCAGTGCTGTATTAGAAACAAAGTTTTATTTTTTTTCAATGTTTCTAATGTCGGAATTATAAAGTACAAAGTTTAGGATAGGTATGTAATATAGTGACCTATTCGATGTAAAGTTTCTCGTACTTGTGATTTTGTTAGAAATTCTAATTAATCTTTCATTTGCAGGTTCCTCTCGGGGTCGCCGCCATCATGGCGTCGGACGAACAATTTTCATTATGTTGGAACAACTTCCACGCGAATATGTCAGCAGGCTTTCATGGCCTGCTTTCGCGTGGAGATCTAGTAGATGTAACGTTGGCTGCCGAAGGCAGATTACTTCAAGCCCACAAATTAGTTTTATCAGTATGTTCTCCCTATTTTCAAGAAATGTTCAAAATGAATCCCACTCAGCATCCCATAGGTAAGTTTCGATCACTTTGATGTTGTTGTAATATTAAAAATTAATGAAGTTTCATCTCAATAAGTATTAATGAATCCTATTTTTTGTTGCAGTATTTTTAAAAGATGTTAGTCATTCAGCGTTAAGGGACTTACTACAGTTTATGTACCAAGGTGAAGTTAATGTTAAGCAAGAAGAATTAGCATCGTTTATTAGTACCGCGGAACAACTTCAAGTTAAAGGTCTAACCGGAAATCAAAATGAAGAAAGTTCCACGCCATCCAAACCAAAGCCGACCTCAAGGCCAGGCCCGAGGTCGTCACAACAACGGCAATCTGTAATGACTAAGTTAGAGACTGATTTAGATTCTAAGCCCTCCTCAACTCCAGTAGCAGTTAAGAGACCAAATAGGCCATCAATAGCATCAAATAATTCGTCATCCTCACAAAGTGGACCAGCAAAACGGAAATGTGTAGACCCATTAGAAGCCGGACCCTCAGGATCAGCGAAAGACGAGTTTGTTACGATACCTGATGAAGATGAAAATAACGCTGTGGCACCGAAAATGGAACCCGAATTTGTCAATGAGAGTATGTGGGACGATGACGATGACGGCGCAAATAATGAAGAAACAAATTTCGGCGAAGATGACTCTAATATGGAAATGACAGGTATAATATCTAAAATCCTGTTTCGCCCGTTGTCGGCGCCTTTTTTGGAGTAAGTAGTAATGCCTTCTACTTGCAGGCTTTGATGGTTCGGCAACTGGCGATGGCAATATTACTGGAGGCGGAGAAGGTGGAGCGGTCGGAGATGCTCAAGGTAGGTTTGAAACTTCCTTTTGTAAAAACAGTTAGTCGAAGTAGTTTCGACGAACTGTTTGAAAAGTGCGTGACCCATGTGATCTCAAGTCGTTTAGCTGTTGCCGATTTTAGTAATTAACTTCAGATCGCTAAGGTCTCTTAGTTTTAGCAATGAAATTTGTAAGTTAGATTAAGTAGATTTGATAGTAACTGGTTTAGTAATCCATTTGCGATGTTACAGGTAATTTGGTTTTTGATCGGTAAGGTAATAGCATCTCTTGAGATGCAAGGTAAATGGTATGGTATTGGTAAGGTAAAACAGGTAACAAAGGTAAATGGTATGTGGAAGTCTAGGTAATGAGGCTTCTTGGTTGAAATCTAGGTAACGAGACTAGTTTGAAGTCTAGGTTATGAGGCTTCTTGGTTGAAGTCTAGGTAACGAGACTAGTTTGAAGTCCAGGTAATGAGGCTTCTTGGTTGAAGTCTAGGTAATGAGATAAAGTTAAGGTAACGGTAAAGGTATGGTACTTAAAAATGGTCGTATGGTAACTAAAAAAAATTTGTTCTTGCACGCTACAGTATGCCGCTTGCAAGAACCAAAGTATTGATTGCTATATATATCAGATTCTTATCGTCCACTTGCCCATAAGATATCGCCGTATCTATCCGCTGCATGTGACCTGTCACGCGATATCTCTTGCCACCCTAGAGTTCTGGGCCGCTGGGTAACGATGTGCGGTCGTTCAAGGGCGTAAGGATCCTGTACATACGTCCATTGTATTAAAATTTCCTCTGAATCGAAATAACGTCCATTTACTAAATGGTGCATCACAATGTCACAAGCTTTAAGCTTGTGACATTGTGATGTACAAGAGTCATTGACCTTCAAGGACTAATAATGTAGGATCCAGAGCACTGAATCACAGAACTGACAGTATGGGTCATAATAATATATTTATCTAAAATCTGGCAGAGGGTTTCGATCTAGCCGTTTCATTTTTAAAATTCTACCAAAAAAATACCGATAAAGCTCGGTTATACAGGTACTATCACTATAAGTAGCCAGTAGGTATGCGTTACAGAAGAGATACTATACAGCCTTTAAGGTGGGCATAAAAGAAATGTGAACCTCGTGATACGACTACGATATATTATATGGACATTACATTGTGGACTTGATACGTGGACATTATGATACTCAGGAAATTTTGATTCAGTGGGTTTTGTGAGTAAAGGAGAAGGATTATGCTTTCAAGATGTGGGCGTGGCCAGACAGTGCGATTGTTTGTGTAGCGGGATTGGTCATTTCGCGCTTTAATGCCATAGTGTCCGTTTCGACTGCTCGGCCAGTGTCGTAGAAAAAAACGACTACGTCAACTTTAAGAAGGAATTTGTAAAATACTAACAATGAAAGTCGCAAATTCGTAGATCCAATATTCAGAAAGTTGTAAGGGTTTAACAATGGGCGCGCGGTCGAAACGTGGAGAACCGCGCGGCCACGCAGTTCTTTTAAACGGAGCTTAGTAGACATTCCATTCTTTTTGCTAACCACATACGATTTCGAAGAAAATGTAGACAGTTTTAATAAAGCCCTAAGGCTTAGACTTCACGACCTACAGAACTTAAATGCTATGGCCGCGCGGTCTAACCATGGCGAACTGCGCGGCCACGCAGTTCTCTTTAACGGAGCTTAGTAGAGGTCCAATTCTTTTTGCTAACCACTGATATGATTAGAAGAAAATGTAGACAGTTTGAAAAAACCCTAATGTTATGACTACGACCTACAGAAGTGGTGATGAAGAAAATGTCTGATTGACGCACCATGAATCTTGGTCACCCTTCTTCTAACTTGCATTATAGTTTTAAGTTCTGTATGTCGTGAAGTCCAAACCGTAGGGCTTTTTTCAACGTGCGTGATAATTGAGGGACCATACTGGTATTTCGCTAAATAAAAGTTATATGATTTAGTAGAAGACTTGAAACAATTGTAGAACAAATCTGGGAATTTGTAAAAAAAATGTTTATAAAACTACAGCTCTTAAAGTGCGGTCCCTCAGTTGTCAGAGATCATCAGCCAGATCTCGGAAAATATACGAAAAATTAAGACATTGTGACTACAGACATTTAGTAAAGAATTTGTAAAGATATTTACTAAATAACAGACGACAAACCATCAAAGATAAAAATATAACGACTAAACTGTGGTCCCTCAGCGCACAGGCAAGATTAATATTTTTGAATATTACCAAATCAAATGAATAAATTCTCTCTATTTCTACATCTTAAAACATTTTGTAAAAAAAGAAATGGAATAAAAATATTGACGCAATTCGAGGAGAGTGACTATTAAAACTCCTCGCCTCTGCTGACACATGTACATATACTGGCTTCTTTACGAGAGAAATATAAAAAATATAGTTTATTTAACTTTTAGTAAAAAGTTTCTACTAAATAATAGGGATTTAAGTGTATATTTCTTATCTATTAGTTGAGATACTATAATTTTTTTAGTCCTATGAAAGTAAACCTACTTATTTATCACAGGTGAAATCAGTGACCAGAACCAATCTTTTCATCAAATGAATATGATTTAAAAGTAGCAATTTCCGTGTCTTACCGGCAGTAGTGGAACCTGATACACCAACGAACTCTATACAACAAAGAGATAAGTTGACTAAAATAGCAATGACTACAGACCGCACTTTGATAACTCAAAGACACTAAAAAGTTCAAGCTACTGCAAGGAAAGATTGTAGGAATTGCTATGCCAATAAAAAGAGAACACAGACTATCATGGAATGCATGATGTGCCCTGGTAATCCAACGATGTGCCTAGAATGTTTTTGTACTTTACATACGTGCTACGAAAATTAAAATCCTGAAGGGCAGATATTTTTCGTCAGTTGATTTTTAGTTAATTTATCATTTTTTGAGTTTTAAGTTTTATCACTTGATGGTAGAAGGTTGGTTTGCTAGAAAATGTCCGTATGGATTGAGGAGCCACTACATACACTACACATGGAAACACCCCTTATATAGTAGGAGAGCAAATAATTTTAAACCTCTTAAACCTTCCCACAACTAGACCATCTAGTTGTTGAAAGATTTTTTACATGATTTGTTTTAAATGTTCTTCAAGAAATTTCCATCCATTCTTTTTGATTCCGGAAACAGCTCTACAATTCTTGCAAGATGAGAAAAAAAAATTTTGCGCGAGCGACATTCAGCTGCATACGTTTCAAATAAGTTAAGCGAATGTGCAGAGCATGGCACATATTCAGAGAAAGAGTTGATCTCCTTAGTGCGAGCTTGAACTCCAGACGTAGTCGCGTTATCATAAGAATGTCCTCTGTACATCACGATATCAAGGCCAAGATTTTCGAGCGTTTTAAGTACAGCTTGCATTAATTCCTTAGCTTTGTGCCTGAGACGGGGGATGACTTTAATAAATCTTTCTGTAGGTGTTCCACTCCCTTTAGACTCCCTGCAAACGTCCCTAGATCACACAGAAGGCTCTCACTAACAAATCATTCACGCACTTCTTGATAAACTATCTGTAAAAATAAAACGAAGAAGCCATCCACACAACTTACCTTGGTTGATTCTTTGACGTAGCTGACCAGCAGCTGAAATGGGGTTAGTACGATGCTTGCTTCGTCTGGTTATTGCTGTATGCATTTACTTTCTCCAAGGCCTCGCACCAGAAGGAGAATGCGCCGCTGGACTTGCCCCTTTTTCATGCGACCCCTTCCACAAAATCAATTATCTTTAAAGTAATGAGAGAAGGTAATGTATCGTGAAAGTTTAGCACAGAGGGCGCCAAGGCGACGAGTTCTAAAATATGTACCTATATTTATTGGAGTACGTCAGGATATGTATAGTATACGGTATACGAAATAATTAAACTACATAACAAAGACCCACCAAAGTCCACGTATGTAATGTCTATCTAACCGTGTTCTTAAACTGGCGTACCACCCGTTAAAAATTTCGAATTAGCGTGCGTTGCAATAACGTCATTCGAACCTTTATATCACTCCCAGACACCAGTCTGCAATCGTCACGTCAGGCTTTCTTAGAAGGCTTAAACACTGGATTGAGAGGGCCTTCAGACAAGGGGAGACGATTAGTGGTGTCCCATGTTGGAGAAGAGGGTTTTTTGGATGATGGTCCACTAGTATTTGAAGCTAAAAAGGGGCTAGGTGATTACCACAAGGAGATGAGTGCCGATCAATACGAAAACTTGAAAAAAAAATCTCCCGAAATTAAAAGACAGCAGTTCTTGTGATAATCACATTATCACACCAGGAAGCTGGGATCGTTACCTACTTCTAGGGCAAATTCATCAGAAAATATTCCTTTTGAAGAGACAATGCTAAAACCAGAGTTAAAATTGCCCGAAGGCACAAAAACGTCCATGAAAGGAATATCGTCGATGAGATGGCTGCTGATCAGGGGTTGTCACTATTTTGCGGCTGCCCCCTTACCACTGCGAGCTAAATCCGAATGAATAAGTCTTTAAGTAAAGGGGCATAATAAAAATTCTTCAAATTCATAATAATTCTTCAAATTGAATCATCATCATCATCAACAGCCTTTAATAGTCCACTGCTGGACAAAAGCCTTCTTAGAAAGGAGGTTTTGGCCTACTGTACCACGCTGGCCAGACGGGTTGGTATAGGGTTTGTGTCAAGTTTTCCTTCTCTCTGCGGTGTTGTTGTTCTGCGTAGTTTTTTCCCTTAGTCGGCTCTTACGACACCCACGGGATGAATAGGGGTGGTGACACTCTGTATTCTTAATCCGTCACCACACGGACACAAATTGAATGAATTGTTTAAATAGCCTCAGTTACTCCACGTATAGACAGCTAGTAGTAAAATTTTATAAAATCGGTCCGGCCGTTTTAAAGATTACCCAGAACAAACAGACAGACAAAAAACATTTAAACTGGTTTTTAGGCATAGGTATCGTGCTACCAACCGTGTGAGCTTGAAAATCCAGATTATTTTGACATTACAAGCAGACACTTCAATTAGATTTATTTGTATACATACCCGCAACGTGATAATATTAATGTTATTTGTTCAATATTGTTGTCATGTAAGTGACCATTGTCTAAATGAGAAATAAAGTTTTTTAAACCGATATTTGAATTTTATTTAATTTCACTGGACAAAATTTACAATCACATATAAAATATAAACTCAAACTGAAATAATTTTCATTGAGTAGGCCTTGTTACAGTGCAAGATTAGAATCAAATG